TGAAATTTGAAGAGGATATCACAGCATTGTTTTTAAACATATAAGCGTGATTATGTGATGGGGTGGCCAAATATAATTATCAGAGCTACTATTTAATTAGGTATATGTACAATTTTTATTAGCAATCTTGGTGTTTTCGCCTTCTCTCTTTTTTCTATCAAGTTAAACAGTTCAACTTCATAATATTTAAGTGTTCTTACCCTACCGAAATACTAAGTTTCTTGCAATTTCGTGGGGTCTTCAAATGGGAAAATGGTCAATTTCAACCTCAACAATTTGCATCGTGCATTTTAACAGAAGTTAGTCAACCATTAAATATAGAAAACGACGTCGTTTTGAACTGAAAAAAAAAGGTTAAAAAATCATAAACCTTGCTTTAGACACAACTAGAACCCTGGTCTGCTGCTCAAACAAAGAACACACAAACCTTTTTGTTACATTAACTTTTGACAACTATAATTGAAATAAATAATATATAACATAACGTTTTTATACAAATGTTAATTATACTTTTCTCTTTAGATCATTTCTATTGCTTTGTTATTTAGAATATAAATTTCACTTTCAGCTGTTAAAAAAGTATTAAAAACGTTTTACTAAAAATATTTTATTAAAATATGAGTTTCACTTTTAAATTTTTAATAAAAATGTTTTTTTCAAAACATGTATAGTAGAAATTTATAAATTAATAAATTTTGTAAATTACTAAATTTTTCGATTTTGAATGTGTCTAGTTCAATATATTACACAAATATATGATCTTATTAATATAACAAAATTAATAATATGATCTTTGTAAACCAATAAGAATTGAAATTTAATGGGCATGCTTAATTTTACTTCTTAATAACTAAAAAGTGAAATTTATTTTTTAAATTTAGTAAATAAAAAAGAAATAGAAACGGATCTAAAGAAGAAAGTAAAATGTTTATTTATTTAGTAATTTAAAATTTTAGTAATTTACAAAATTTATTAATTTATAGAATTTCTACTATACGTGTTTCGAAAAAATTGTTCTTATTAAAAATTAAAAAGTGAAATTGATATTTTTAATAAAATATTTTTAGTAAAACATTTTTAATTTCACCTTTTTAATAACTTAAAAGTGAAATTTAAGTTCTAAATAACGGGAATAGGCAGTGTATCTTTGTTTAGGTAGGAAAAGGAAATTAATAAACTTTGTAAATTACTAAATTTAGAGCATAAATTTCACTTCTCAGTTATTAAAAAGGTGAAATTAAAAAATGTGTCCACTAAATTTCAATTATTATTAGTTTACAAAGATAATATTATTAATTTATTATATTAATAAGATCATATATTTGTGTAATATTTTGACCTAGACCAATTCAAAACCAAAAAATTAGTAATTTACAAAAATTATTAATTTATAAATTTCTATTATACATGTTTTGAAAAAAACGTTTTTATTAAAAATTTAAAGTGAAACTCATATTTTTTAATAAAATGTTTTTAGTAAAATGTTTTTAATTTCACGTTTTTAATAACTTAAAAATAAAATATATATTCTAAATAACAAAGCAATAGAAACGATCTAAAGAGGAAAGTATAACTAACAATTGTAATAAAAATATTATGTTATATGTTATTTACTTTAATTATAGGTGTCAAAAGTTACTGTAGCAAAATGGTTTGTTTGTTGTTGGTCTGAGCATCAGACCAGTGTTTGGGGCTTACCTAAATCAACTTTTATGATTTTTCAAATTTTTTTTTTTAATTCAAAGCGACGTCATTTTCTATATTTAACGGTTGACTAACTTCCGTTAAAGTCAAGTTTTTTTAGGCCCAAAAGATGAAACTTGGGTTGAGTTTTTGAAATTTTGAAACATTTAAGTAGAAAAAATGCATTGTATCTTAGTTTAGGTAGAAAAAGGCACGATACAAATTGTTGATGTTGAAATTTACCCTTTTTCCTCTCCAAATGAGAGAAAGAACAAAAAGACAGGATATATATAATAACAATTTAGATGTTCCAATATAATATTTGGTGTAAAAAACATTGTTGTAAAAATTGAATGTAGATTCAATGGTGTTGGTCAGCTTGCAACAACACTCTCCGAAGCTCACCCTCCATAGCTCTCAACACTACAGGCTTTCTCACAACACCATTGATTCAAATCTAAAATCAGGCCCTCCAAAGAGTTTAGATAAAAAAAAATATATATCCAAAGAGTTTCAGTTCGTCTAAGGCTACTGCAACTGATTGTTGTGTTGGGCTAAGGCTCATGGGTTTTGGGCCTCAATGTATATTGACTCAGCAGCCTCTAGATCAAACGATTCAAACCTTATTCTACATGTAGAATGTTTTCTTTGTTACAAATGTGTATCTGAATATAAAGTTTCAAACATGATAGGTGTTTGAGAAGAAACCAAATGGAAGAATATGCAAATTAGTAGTGCTCTTGTTCTTGAGTATTGATTTGCCTTCTTCACATCTTTGTTCTTAACACTCAAAATCATGATTGATATATTTGATTAGCGTCCAAAAGTCTTTGTCATCATTTCTGCCACGATATTTCTTTGGATTTTCGCAAGGTATATAAATACATCAAAGGCTGAACTATAATATACAAGAAACTTTATAGATATTCTTAACTAACATTCAAATTAATATATCGTTTTTTTTCTCCTTTTGAAAATCAAGTTGGTTACTGAAAAGAAAACAAAAAAAGAAAAAAGGGCTCGTGGTGAATGAAAAGACAACAATATATAGTAGATAAAGACTTTAATTCATCTGACGAATATCTCTAATGTCAAGACAAGCTTCTTTATCGTTTGTCAATGACGTGATCATAAGAAGACAAGGCTTCTTTAGTTATACGAAGGGATCACCTCGTGTCTAGTGTTTGTATGTTCCTCGTGTTGTAATTAGAAGTGAAGAGGGTTCTTTTCATAGTGAGTATTCAAGGCACGAAGGTATCCAAAGTGAAACAAATAAAATTGGGAAAACAATATTCTATGTAATGTGTTCACATATCTATAAACCATATATTATTATTATACATATATTAAATATACACTATAAAACAAAACAAAAACGGGATATATAAATCATATAGTATAATCTAGACATAAGAAAAATTCAGAGGAGCATTCACATAATTTAACACATGCATGGGTCCATTCGGTATTTGTTCGACTTCGAATGGAAATGAATAATAAACTAAACAACATCTTTACTTTTTGTTACTGTACATGTAATTGATATGATATTCACATTCGGGAATCTTGAAGACTTTTCAACTCTTGCAAATCGTTTGCATCACTTGATCAGCTATTTTGACTAGGGACGAGTGACGACCACTTTGATCTTGATCATGTGGCTTCAGAGTCAAGCCATATCATCATCTCTGCTTCCTCATAGCCGCCTATACTCTCAAAGAACAATACGTACATGAAAGATTTTTGAAAATGTTCTTACGATATTTTTTTTTCTTTTCTTGAATTTAAAAAAAAACAAGATTTAGTCATATGTCGTTGACAACTGCAAAACAAACAACAAAATATATCGATATTGATGTCTCTAGTAGTTATCGATATTCTCAAACTGTGAAACAAACATGATTAACCTTGGTCAAAAACCTTCCTTAGGCAGTCTTTGCAAACGCATCTTTAATAACGTTTTGTAAATTTATCTTAATAACTACAAATTTCCAAAAATTCTAAGATACAAAAATTTTATATATAAGCAAATGTTAGAAGTGAGTTAGTGTACCTTAACAAAAAAAAAAAAGAAGAAGTGAGTAAGTGTAACTGTAAAGTAAATTCATAAAATTTAACTAGATAAGCTTCACTTTTTGTTATATATGACGAGGCAATTTTTTTATAAACAGATCTCCACTTCTTTATATAATTATTCATTTTTACTTATAGTTTTTTTTTTTGAACAACATATTTACTGTTATAGTCAAATTCTATTTTTGTTTTCTCAGAACTATTGCACTCAAGATAATTACCAATTTAGGATGCATCCGGGAAAATTATGGATCCTTGAATGTAAAGTGAAGACTGAAGGAGAGTGGTCATCTATTTGGGATGATGGGTTTTTGCTGTAGTTGTCGAATAATTAGTATTTTAAGTTAAACTAATGATTAATACTACTATTATAGTATATATAAACATTGTCTGGTTCGAAGAAACAAATGCATCAGCCCAAGTGGGGTTTAATGTATAATACTAAGCAAGATGTGCAAAGTGCAAACCCATCTCTCCCTAGATTCACTTTCTGCAAATCTAATCCATTTCTATTTTATTTTATGCAGTTTCTTTACTTTAATAGGCTCGAGGAACGTGCAGTTTAGTTTAATCCTCGCAAGTCCAGGGGGCATGTATCTAATTTTTTTTTTAATGTATACGGATTTTAACTGGTAACTAATAAAGTCACGAATTATTTACGTTACATTGTTTTTTTGTTTGTTTCAAAAGTTCACACTTCACAAAGTGGCAGATGAAAAAATATAAGTGCCGATTAAAAATATTCATGTCATTTGTTCTTCTAACAAAACTAAGGAAGCATCTAAAGCAAGAAGCATGTCACGTACTCATATAACTTATGCTTATAATTGATCTCTTCCGGCTTTAGTATTTCAAAATGTATTTCAACCCTGTATTTCATCTTCGGTTCTGAATAATAATCAGATGTAAAAAAAAAAAAAAAAAAAATTGATCTCTTTTGTCACTTCTGCGCTAATTCCTAATATATCGTAAAGAAAACGAAGGAAGTTGGCCAATTAAAGACATAACAAAATAATATGCGGAAAAAATGTAAAATACAATATTCGAAAAATGAAGAAGTTATCACAGCATGGTTTTCTTTAAACATAGAAAGTAGAAACGTACAATTTAAAGAGGTAGTATTTATCTAGGTATAAGTACAATTTGATTATTAGCACCATTGGTGCTTCTTCTATCCTTCGTATTTATAATGTGTAACAGTTCAATTTTCTAATATTAAAATTGTGTTCTTACCCTACCCAAAATGTCCAAAGAGATTCATGCAATTTCTTTTCTTTTTTTTTGTTAAAAAAGATTCATGCAATTTCGTGGGGTCCAAATGAGGAAAAGAACAAAAAGGCACAACAAATCATACAAATATGGATGGTATATATAATAACAATTTGGATTTTCTGATATAATCTATGGTGTAAAAACATTGTTGTAAAAATTTGAATGGAGATGAGAGAAGTTGAGATCAACTTAGAGAAGTTGGTCAGCTTGCAACAACACTCTCCGAAGCTCACTCTCCATAGCTCTCAACACGACAGGCTTTCTCACAACACCATCGATTCCAATCTGCATACACTTGTCCCACATCTCTGCGTCCAAGCTCACAGTCATTGCCACAATCAACGGCCAAGACCGGCTCCTGATCCTCATGGCCACTTCATAGCCGTCCATCTCCGCCATTTGTAGATCAAGAACCACAACTTGAAACGACGAGGAAGACGAGGACGAGCTAGGAGCAACGGCGGTTAGGCAATCGAATCCGGATGATACCGCGGTTACACTACATCCGAGTTTCTCCAAGAGCTTACGCGTGACCGCCCGGTTCGAATCGTTGGTGTCTACTAATAAAACTTGCAAGCCACGTAACAGAGAATTCGAATGAGGGTGATGGTGGTGGTCCGGCGCTGGAGACTCGCCTGATCCATGGACTGAAACGGAAGGCCGGCGTCTAAACCTGAGCAGCAATGACATGGTCTCCGGTGAACCGTCCGAGCCAGGAACCACCGAGATATTCCCTTGAATCAACTGCACAAATTATAATAGAATTACTCAATATTTTTCTTCTTACTCCTAAACCGAAACCTAGAGAAGAGATATGTACAAAGAAACCCCACCTGCACCACTTTCTTACAAACACCAAAGCTAAGATCTTGTCCTAACCCATATCCGGAGAATCTCATATCACCAACTTCTTGATGATCTCTTGATGAAACAGAGGCAAATGATTGAGAACTCGAATCATCAGTCTCGACACTCATTTCGAATCTTATGTACACATCTCCATCTGCTGAAGAAGCCGGTGATCTCCAAGCAGCCCATCTCTGATCACTCCTATCCAAGCTTCCTCTCTCTTTCAAAACCCTAAACATCACCGACGACGAAGATCCTCCTTCTTGACGTTTTCTTGGCTTCACTAAACTACCAACCATGTGAAGTATCACCTGAAACACTCTCCTCTCGTCGCCTACCACATTTTCCGGCAGAGACTTCTCCGCATCAACCGAAAACCTAAACCCGTTGTAAAGACACAAACACCTCGACAAGCAAGCTGCTTCACGGATCGTACGGTGAAGACTAAACGGTTTCATCTCCGTCACGAACCTACCGTCCGATACATCCATCGCGTCCCCGACCAAATTCGACATAACGTTCCCCGTCTTCACCATCGTATCAACAACCATCCTCTGCTCGTTACTCAGCTTCTCGTCCTGAATCATCGACAAGAGACCGAGTATCGAGTGCATCGGACGCCTCATGCCTTCGCTCATGGCCTTCTGCAACACATTCCTCGCTTGGCTCGCCCTCAACGCGTCCCTCTTCGCCATCTGCAACGCCCTGTTCTGCTCCGCGAGCTTCTCCCTCATCATCTGAGACTCCTCAAGAACCGCCGCGTGAGACAACGCCACCGCAACTTGGTCCGCCACAACTTTGACAATCTCAATCTCCTGATAAGTCCAGTCCCGAGGCTGCCCGCTCGGTAACACGCAGACGAGCACCGCGTAACACTTCTGAATCAACTCAGGAGTGCCTCCTTTGAAATCCGAAACACGAAGCATCGGCATTCGAATCGCAGCCACTGGTCCGATCTCACTAACATCCCCACCACTAGCTCGAGCAATCAACGAGTCTACACTCAACACATTCACTTCATCGCTTTCTCTAACCTTCACAACATCCAAATCATCCATGGGAACAGAGTAACTATAACCGTTTCTCCCCCTAAGCTCGTGAGTCAGATTCATCTCTGTTTTACCGTCGTTCTCCATCCAAACCGCGCAATTCTGCAACCCCAACGTCTTCGAAAGCTCGACCAAAGTAGTGTAAAGAATCGTGTGGCGATCCAACGACTTACGAATCTCCTGAGTAAGCATACGAACATGAAAGCCAGTCTCTTTCTGAATCATGATGAGTCCAACTTCACGTCCAAGCTCGTGGGCTTTCTTCTTGAGCATAAATTCTCTAACTTTAACTTTCAAAAGCAGAGGAATCAGAGTGATGAGCGTAATCGCGGTGGCGCAAGAGACTAGAGCGGTCAACATCTTGAAAACGGTCAAGGCCATCATCAGCTTGAAAGGGTGAGCACCGTAAGTCCATCCATGGAGGAGATGAGTCATGCCGCAGAGAACAATGAAGGCGATGAATTCGAAGAGTACCCATTTGAATGGGACGTTGGAGCAGCTCACGAAGTAGAGTAATTCGATCGGGATCGAGAAATACGCGACTGCGATTAAGAAATCGCTTACTCTCTGCGTCTCTAAGATGTTCTCTGTGCTCCAGAAACTCCCTCCTTCGTCTTCGCAATTACACCCGCCGTTTCCAGCCGTCGCCGGAGAAACCCAGATCAGTATCGAAAACAGTATCAATAACAAAGAAGCTGTTTCTCTCACCATCTTCGTGAAGAAATGTTTAATCTCTGCGGAGTAGTAGAAAATGTTGAGTGTAAAAAAGAGAGGAAATTGAGAAAGACCCATTAAAATTGAAGAAATTGGAAATTAAAAAAACAAAAAAATTGACAAGTCAACGAACAAACAAAAGGGGGAAAAAATCGAAACTTTAATTTGGGTTTAACAGTGGAAAGAAACATGCAAAGGAGAATAGTACCTGAAAGAGATGATTTCTGGATCAAACTGTCTTCCGTTCTCAGATCTCATCGAGCTTGTGAGACTCTAACGCAGCGTCGTGCGGAAAAACTTCTATTTCTCGGCGGCATTCCGATAAAAGGAAAACGACGAGACCGGAAAAAGAAAAAGACGAGAGAGAGAGAGAGAGAGAGAGAGAGAGAGAGAGAACAAATCCAGAAGACAAAAGAATCTTAAAAAGAGAAGTGAGATAGCGACAAATCTGAAACCTATATAAAAACGTGCAAGTGTATGTATATATATATATGTATAAGCCGGAGTTGTATATTCGAATCGTGAATTTTGAGCTGATAAGCGGCGGAGACTGCCCTTAAGGCTTAAGCCGCCGTTGGAGAAATGAAGGAGGAAAGTGTATATGTATAGGTGTAAGTAAAGGCCGGAGCCGTTGGTTTTAGAAGAAGGTTTTCGAGAATTATACTTCTTGTTTTAGATTTAGAAACTAGTGGGACCCACTGGTTCTTACATGAACCGAACTTGGACGCCCTTTTGAATTTTCTGAGTTGTTTTCTTTTTTACTAATTTGTACTTATATCTGTTTTTTTGGTCACTAATGTACTACATAATTAATTATTAACTTTTTGACAAGAAAATATACATTAAAATATTAACTTTTAGATATTTCTCTGACTATCCCCACTTGTTCGTTTTATATTTTTTTTTTGAACAGATAAATGTTTTTTAAAATGTAACTTACAAGCTGTAAATTAAAAAAATTATTAAATGAGTCCTTTGAATTTATCAAATCCCGTATATCCTGAGAATGAGAATAGAATAAAACTTTTTTTATTAAATGAGTTCAAATACAGCGTTGGAAACCAACAAGGCACATGACGTGAATCTAGGAACCTAAAATAGTTTAATAAATGAGTTTAGTTGATATACTCCAAACTAATAAACATAAATAAATACCAAAAAAATAGGTTTGTTCCATTGCTATGGCTAAGTAAAGAGTAATACTGCTAATAAACAAAAGAACACAAAATCTAACACTAATCACTGTGTTTGAAACTGACACAGGTAGTCGGATAGCAATGAGATTAGTCTAGTCAATTTCATAATTAGTCAAATAGTACAAAAGAAAAGAAATGAAAATAACGCTTAAAAGACGTTGATTATATATTATGAGGGGGACCTACAAAAACTTACATCTTTTTAATGTTTCCTTCACCATACATGAATCTGAAGAGTAATGAGTATAACATTTGAAACCACCTTGACGTGTTTGTTATTACTTTCCTTTAATTTTAATTTTTATTGTTTTGACTCTAGAAATCAAATTATATAGACCAGACTTCGAAAACATAATTGTTTTTATAGGGATGGAGGAACTAAAACATCAATCTCTTTTTCTTTTTGTTGATAAAAAAAACACCAATCTCTATTTCTTCTTTTTTGATAGTACTACATTCGATCTAAATAAATTGAACCGAGTAGTTTTGAAACGACACGTTATTTATGCTTTTTGAATAAACCGACTAACGAAAACGAATAATAGAAAAACAGATATTCAAACAATACTAGATTATAAGTTTGACTTTGAAATTCGTGGAAAAAAAGTTAATTGAATGCATATTAATCCTAAAATAAACAGAATATTACCAAAAAAAACATCCATCTTACCGTGGACGACACTAGTTACAATACATCGCGCTTATTGGGCTTGGTCGTGACCTGACCTGTTGGTATCGTTCGTTATATTTATTACGCACGACGGTACGAGACTACGAGGCATAGTGGATTGATGCAACAGAGCATACCCAAACACTGGTTTACGTGAAAATTATAGTTTCCTAGACCATTTAGAAAATAAATTTAAAACAACCTAAACAAAATAAAAAATGGATGATTCAACTGACAAAAAGAAAAGAAAAACTCTGGCAAATAAGTTTAGTTTTCTTTTTTTCCAAATCATTGTCAAAACTTTGTTGGTGTCAAAAAATTAAACTTTGTTGGTGTAAAATGTAAATAACTTTGTTGGTTTTAAAAAAACTTTGAAGTTTCTTGTTTTACTAAGTTTTGCAGATTTAATTGTCGGTTAGTAAATGGAATTGTGGCATATAAATTTTGTTATATCTATTTGAACTTAATAATGTTGAAATTTTGTTATATCTATCTATTTGAACTTTATATCTATTTTATGGTGATTCGAATTTAATGGGTCTGAATTGCAATATTTGGTTTAACTGGTATTAGATTCTTAAACTTGCAAATTCAAAACCAAACCCAGCCTAGATCGCATCTTTAACATACCAAATTTTTTTTTTTTTTTTTGTCGTCTGTTTGATTAAAGCTCAAAGGGCATGAAACCCATAAAGGGTAGAGCAGAACAGATACATCTCAATCTGGCCCAAACTAGCCCAAACTGGCCCAATAAACCTAAAAAACACTAAAACATGATCTGAACACGTGTTAACCCATATGACACCTTTAAGACTAAATAACCTAAAGCACAACATGTGTAGGCCGAGATGTGTAGTTGCAGCGCCGCATCTTTCACCGGAAACTTTCGCCGGAAAGGGAACTTCTGAAAGGCACAGTACGGCTCTGATCGGCCTCTGCTCCTTCCTTTTGCATGAATAAACCTTTAGAAGATGATGAAATCTCCTTACGTCATTAGTAGTTTTCGCCGGAATTCATCAGAAGATTAAAAGCAGAATATTCACTGGACCATTTATGAAAAAACGCCAGATCTGCTGATTCTGCATCTTAACCAATCGATGAACTTCCCTTCAACTTGATTTTACATCTTCAAGAAAACCTGTGCTTCAAAGTACATAAACATAAAGCCAGGAATTATATCATAAAGGTAAACCAAGCAGCCAACAGAGATAAGAGATTCATCAAATTCATCAGGGATTTGAAAGGGAACATGCAAAAGGAAAATCCGATAAACGAAAAAATATTCTACAGAAAGCCGGACTGGCCGGATTTGATTTCCGATTAACGGAAGACAAAAAACAAAACACAAAAAGAGAACTTCTCTCTCTGAAAGATCTAGAGAGAGAAGAGAGAGAAGCCCCCGTTTTCTCTATGCTCGTACCAATTTTACAAGTCTCCAATCTAAAACAACATACCAGAATTATAAACTTGAGTTTATCTGATACTCTCTTAAATCATATAAATTATGATAGAATTAATATATCAAATTGATGGGAGGTATTTTTATCTTAATTTGATTTTATATAGTATGTTTTAAAGCAGCCGAATTCCAAATTGCCATAATTTCTTGGCCCAGCATAAAAATAATCTCTCTTACAAATTACGAGGCCTAGATAAGTTTCCAATGATATTGGGCCTATAACTGGGCATACTTTGCAACGCGACCATCACATTTTTATAATCATTACTTTGGTTTACAACATGATCATGATTCAAGAATTGATTAATATCAGCTCACATGGGTCTGCAAGAATGTAGTTTCCGTATTTGAATCGCTTAAAATTTATTACCGTCACCAACCGATAATTAAAATGCGTCTAATGTTTATCCCATTTTCGGATTCATTCACTATAATTTCTCAAGACATTAGTATGTCTTGAATGATATGAACCCATTACACAACGTTAAATGTAAGAACCTTTTGTTGATCTATGGCAATGCAAGAGAATAATAGACATACATTATACAAACGTAAGCTTCATACAATGTTAAATAATAAGATCACATTACTCAAACCTTAGATTTGATCTTTAATTATGCAAGCCAATAATAGGCTTGAATTATACAAACCCAAACTTCATAAAACATAGAACATTGCTCAACCCTATATGATTTATATCTCTACACAAATTATCTATAGTTAATCCAAGAGAATAATATAGTCTTGGATTATACAAACTAAACTCCAAACAATATTAAATGATAAAAAAAACATTATCAAACATATTTTGATCCACTAGGATCAACACATTAAAATCAACTCTAATTAAACATCATGTATTATATAATTCATACGGTGATTTACTTGCGATATATAGGTTGCATTTAATTACGTGGATCAAACGTCAGAGAAACTGCTGAAGACTAATGATGATGATGGCCGAGTCGAAGATCAAGATCAAGATCATCATCTTGATCAGGCTGAGAACCTCCGGCATCTGGTGGCCTCCGGTGAGAGTCATTACCGACGTTGACGGATCCGATCCCTAAGCTCAAATCAAGACCAAGAAACTCCCCTTGAGCATAACTCCCACCCCCACCTAGTGATGATGATGTAAAGCTTTGTGTGTTGTTTCTAGGGTTAATTAGTGGCTGATACGTTTGGTGGTGGTATGACTCAATGGTCGGAAAACATGGCGGGTTGTTGTAATTAGGGTTTGTGTAGTTTAGGGAAGAGGAGATAGACTGAGACGGTAGAGGAAGAGAAAATGGAAAGGAGTAAGAAGGAGAAGAGGAGGAGATGGTTCTTTGGCGTTCCTTACGGTGTAGGTTTCTGTGACCACCGAGAGCCTGGGGGTTCGTGAAACCTCTCATGCAGATGTCACAGTCGTACATCCGGCGGTTACCTCCGGAGCCGGAGCCAGGACGGGATTCAATTTGTTTGCCCTTGTTGCTCATCACTTCTTATTCTGTTTTGGGTCTCTCTCAACAATATCAATGTTTTGAACGTGTCTATGCTCTCGAAATACACACGCGCTATATATAGAATATAGGGTAGTCTTTGAACAAAAAAGTATATGATATAATGTTGTAAAGAGTATGTGTGTTTACAGACATTAATGAAGGCCGTTTATTAAGCAAAACATGCTGATAATATATACTCTAGGTATTATTAAGGCTATAGACTATAGTATCTCTCTAGCCTTTCCTTTGTTTTCTTTTTTTTGCTATTTTGAAAATAAATGTGATCATACACATGCATAGAGCCCAAATAAAGTTATACGTTTGAAACGAGTGTGGACAATGCCAACTATAGTAATTTAACGAAATTGTGAAAGGCTTAGCTAGTCCAGCTTTCAAGTTTAGATTAGTTAGTTTATAAGAAATTAATATTTTGAATGTGAACACGTGAGAACTATTTAAAAAATACAACTAAAAATACTAAAAGAAGCATTAAACTATTAAAATATTAAACTGGTACTCTCAGAAACTGAGAGGCAGTTATGAAATTTTGTGTGAGAGGCAGTTATGAAATTTTGTGTGAGAGGCAGTTATGAAATTTTGTGTTGAATTTCCCAAAAAAACTTCAACTGATTTTGATGCTTTCTATACTTAGAAAGATATGGCCGATCGTCTGCTGCGCTACAAATACTAATTTAATGTTTTAGTTTTCAGAATTGGGCGAAAAAATGATATTCTACTTGCACATATATATTTATTTCTTTGACTTACTCTTTAATTTGTTGGACACCGGGTATCCTGTTCTAGTAATTTTTGAGTACTTATAATTATATAGTTACATGTTTTTTGGGGGGGTAAAATGTATCGTTACATGTTATAAAGGTACTTAGCATGAATCACCTTTTAGTTATTGCCATACTCGATGCTAACTTGCTAA